ATATATATATAATTTTTTTTTTTTTCTTTTTTTTTATGTTTTAAAGATAATAAGGAAATTTAGATTTTCCCTGAGTGCCCTATAAAGGGTTAATAATGAACATTTTAAGGGAAATATTGCTCTAATATAAATTGAGAGGAAGATAAAAGCTACAAAAAACTGATTTTTGGCTACTTAGTGAGTAATTTACTCCAATATTTGTGAATGATTATTAAGCAGCTAAGAGTAACCCGCAGCCTTTCTCATACTGCGACACCCATTTTGATGTTTGTGTGCCTGGAGTGAGCTTCCTGCAGAGAGCAGCTCGGGCCCGGCTCATTTTCGCCTGGCGGGTCAGCCGCTCTGTGTCTGAAGCTGCTGCTACGGAACCGTTTGGCTCTTTTCTCTACTAGCGAGCAACAGTACACTGAAGACCCAACTGTACAACCAGCTCCATTTTAAGGGGATTTATCACCACACATGCCCGCATATTCAACACACATCGCCCAGTGGGGATTCCAGGTACCGCTCGGCCGGTTCGGAGGGCTGTTATAACGCTCTTTTCGAGGTTTAATTAGAGCTTGAAAACAGCGCTGCTGGTGGAGGAGATTCCATATTAGGAGCACAGAGGAGAAGGCACCCCCCTCCTGGAGCTTTAGGTGAGTGTTTCTCATATTTCGGCTTTATTATCGCGGTTATAAATGGTAGCCGTGCGTGTGGCGGGGCTGTGTGGGGAACCAGCGCAGGTTTTGGGCGGGTTATAACGCGTTTTTTGCTGTATATTTGGACATTTTTGTTTCAGAGTGGGGGATGGGCAGCGCCAGCGCGTGAGTAAGGCGCGCGCGTATTGTGCACGTGTTCACTGAGCCGTTTTCGTGCGTGGTTTGTGTTTGTCAGCGCGCGCTTCCTTCCTGCTAGCTGTAAATGAAAGGCTCTGTAGTCATTTTTAACCTCAATCATTTAGAGAATGTTTCCAACATGGTTGGAGTTTAAACGCCTGTGTTCAGGACGGCTATGTACTTGGCAACTTTTTATTTTTACTTTAACTTTAAAGAATTTGGACGACTTAGTTTTTATTTTCCTCTTAGGTATTTCAGCCTTTTGTTATGTAATTGTTTTTTTAAGTTAACAGGTGTCAACGTAAAGTAGTTTTGTGCAGCAGCACATGGTTGTATACACAACCTCTTAATCTGAGCTTAAGTTCAAACTAAAGCTGCACTTTGGCCTAAAAAGTTTCACCAAAGTCTTAATTAGCTTCCCTCTAGGTTGATTGAAAGTTTACTAGAGTGCAGAGCTGCTGATTGCTCTAAAAGCATGAGGTGGGGGAGGGGCAGACACACACTAACTCCTGCACAGCTGAGGTGACCAATGCAAACCTTGGGAATCTCAACTCTGACATAATGTACTTGTCCCAGATTAGCCTTCTGTTACAAGGTGTTTTTAAACCGACTGCTTGGATTAAGGTTTCTATAACTTTTTTTTTTCATAGTTTTTAAAAAGTACATATGATTTAATTTGCAATAAATAAAATCCACAATTGAAACCTTAAAGGAACAATAAGGAACATTTCAGTCCACTTCAGACCAAACCAACACTACATTTTAATACAAGCTTCTATAATAAGACACAATATGTAAATAGTTATACTAATTAATAATTTGATACATTTCTTTGGTAAAATTCAGACTGATGACACATCATGTGATTTAAGGCCAATTTTTTAATTTTTTTTTTTTTTTTTTTTTTTT